CCGCCGCCGCCGCCGCCGCCGCGCGACAGCACTGTTGTCGTGTCATTGCTGCAACTCCCACGGTAAGATGTTCATTGGGCCTATCCTGTGAGTTTGTGCTTCCTGCTCGCGGGAAGACGCCGTCTGCGAAGCCGTTTGGCCAAGCTTAGGTCACATGCGTTAAAGCAAGGCAGGTGTAGGGGTAAAGGCCACATACGACACATCATCCATGCTCAAACCAAGATTGCCTTCCTTGCCAACAGGTAGGCGAAGTCTCGGGACGCTCATGTTTTTAACACGGTAGCAAATTCAATTCGAAGGATTTTTTTGATTTATGTTATCCGCTTAAATGCAATCCGTGTATAACCCTATATTCGTAACCCTGTGTATCCCTACATAACCCTATATACCCCCGTATAATCCCTACATAACCCTATATAACCGTGTATATAGAATGACATGGCCGAGAAGGCAACGGCCCTTCTCAACAACCTGGCTTTGAAGCAGCTGCGAGATCTCGCGCAGCTACCGGCGGGTCATGGCCTCCTGGCACTATGACCTACTGTTGGTTCAGGGTTTAGGGTTTAAGGTTCAGGGTTGAGGTTTAAGGTTTAGGGTTTAGGGACTCAAAGAAAAATGGGAGCAGCTACCGAGCTGAGGGTTCACTGCTTGGGGGCAGGAATGGAGCAATGGATCTCTACAGCAATCGCTTCATAAGACCCACAAGGCTTTTTCAAAAAATGGCGCGTCAGGAATCCCATATACTCCCCTAAACCCAGATGCAGAGCCAAGGACTTCACCCAGCTCCGAAAGACTTCTTCCGGCAAGATGATGCCCGTCAAGCCCTGCAGAAGCCACTGGGCAATCTCAGTGCTTCGCGAAGCTTTAGCCGTTAAGTGTATACACATGAAATAAAGTACTATGAGACTATTATACTATAATGGTATAATCATGTAATGGCCTCGCAGTATGGTGATGGCTTTCGCAAGAAGCCTGTGGCCTGAGTTTGGATGCCAATCTTGGCGAGTGCAAAGAGTGATCGTGCTGTTACAGAGCGCCAGAGCGTCCTGGAAGCTTTGCCAAGGCTGATAGATGACGGTGAATACGAGCGCTGGCAGGCACAGATTGGGCTAATATTCATGTGAAGACCAGGAAAGCAAATCTTAGCAATGTTTCTCAAACATGTTAAGGCTAGGCTTTGCCAGGCAAAAGGCAGAGCAACATCAACACGCGCAAATCTCTTGATGCAGCACTGGAAATCCGCCAGTTGTCGAACAATATTAAACTCCTGTGCCCGTTGTACTGTAGACTTTTCCGCGAATCTGTTTGGCATGAGGTCGTGGGGGATAGAGGCCTGTTTTACTCAGTTTGAGTTCTCTCCCCGCTCTTGTTGCAATGGGTACTCCTGGCTGCTGTCATAGGTCGGCCTGTTTGCTGAAGAAGTGGGTGCTGGCGGCAAGAGGAGGTGCGATTGGTTTGTAATGAAGGAACGGAATAAATACAGCTGCTGCTCAATTGCAAGGGTAAGACGGAAAGTGGCAACACAGCCGCCAATAACAACAGACATTCAATTGGGAGACTTCTCATAACAGCTGTGATTCAAAAACACGTTGCTTGTAGCAGCCTGTGGCGACCTAGGCTTGCGACAGAACTGCCCCGCTTGCAGGATTGCAACAAACACCTTGCAAGCCAAGCTAGCATCAGAGACAATGACATGTAACAACAGGCCGTGACATAGGGGTATGTAACAAGCGGGTTGAGAACTGCTGCAGCAAGACTGGCGTTTCATCAGCAGCCTAAACCCGCCCACTGTCTAAACTCCTAGTATCCCCCTTAATAACCCCTATAGTACCCCCCCTATATACTCCCCTATATAACCTTCCTTTAAGGAGTTTAGACTATGGCTCATCTGTCAGGTTCAAAGTTGACACCCTTGCTGGCTTTGCGCACCAGCATGCTCCAGACTTCCCTACTGCTTGGCATCCCAAAGACAAGAGTGCTGTCAAGAGTGACCACCTGTATGAGGCAGAAAGGGGATTTTGACAAACAGGTGGTATAGTTGTTGGAGAGTCTTCTTTTTGGGGAGTCGGGGTTATACTTGTTTGGGAAGGCTCATTCTTCAACATCCCCCCCTACAAGTGTAAGTTTGAAAATCCATTTTCATTCTTGTTACACTCAATTTCTACATAATCCTCAAAAAAACCCTAAACATTTGAATTCTGTAGGGCCCCTAAATCCCTAAACCCTAAACCCCAAACCTAGCTTTGAGCAAGCTTCGGTCAGGTGATTCTGGAAGATCGACCTTGTTGGCTCTACTTTGACCTGGAGTACTCCAAAGAGACCAATCCAGGGCTTGCCCCAGAGGTGGCAAAATCCTAAAGGGTTTAGGGTATAGGGTTAGGGGTTTAGGGTATAGGGTTAGGGGTTTAGGGTATAGGGGTAGGGGTTTAGGGTATAGGGTTAGGGGTTTTGGGTTTTGGGTTTAGAACCTGAACCCTAAACCCCAATCCAGAACTTGCTCTAGAGGTAGCAATGGCTGCCTTTGAATCGACACTGGCCGCCTTTTGCCAGGAAGTCTTGGGCATGAAGCTGGGCTTCACTATGACCATTACTACCTCAAAGGGATATGGGGGGGGGGGTTAGGGTTTAGGGTTTAGGGGTTCCCAAAATTAGGGTCCCATTTTGGTGCCCCTAAATATCAGGTGCCGCACTATATGTTATAACCAAAAGGGGGGGGAAGTAATTTTGAGAACAGCCTATATATATCAGCGATAGTCTAAACTCCTTGAAGGGGTTATATAGGGGGTTAAAGGGGAGTCTTATAAGGGTAATTAAGGGTGATACTAGGAGTTTAGACTATATAGCTCATATGGGGGTTCTGTAGAGATGCAGAAGGATATCTAGGGAGATGAAGGGAAACATGGCATATTGAAGTTTCCGGTTGATACTAAACATCGTGCATGACCCTAAGTACCCTAAACCTTGAGAACTATGGTACCATGGTATACGAGGATCTAGTATCAACAGTAATACTTTTTTTTTATTTTTGTTATGAATAAGATTCTCATTGTTATGAATATGCTTATTGTTAGTATTACTATTATTGCCATTATCACTATCATTTTAACATATTATATTACTGCTACTGATGCTAGATTGGTATTTCTGGATAAACAATGCCCAGCCAAGAGAGTCTCCCTTCTTTGGAGGCGGGTATCTTGGAGGTGTTGCTAAGATGACCCCTAGAGATTAGGGTTCAGGGTTTAGGGTTTAAGGTTAGGTGGACCCTCCACCCAGTAATATTGACTACAAGGAATACAGTTAATTATATTAGGTCCTCTGATATTCCTGTTGTACTACTATTACATGGTGGGGGTTCCACCTAAAACACCCTCAATAGCCTACGTGCTTGTTGTTTCTTTGCATTGCAAGCCCCGAGAATTGAACGGAAAACACCGGGGCATGCAGTGCCACGCTTTATGACTATGGCTTTTAGCAGTACGGTTTTAATCAGTATTGATACTACTATTCTTGTTATGACCGGGTACGATAATCAATGGGTAGTATCGCTATAGTAACGCTTGATGGCTACTGTCTCTATGACATGATTGTATTGTTGATATTGTTACCATTGTTAACTTCTAGTGTTCTTAGTATTATGATTACTATTACTGTTACTGTTACTGTTATTGTTACTGTTACTATTTGTTTATTACTACTACTATCAGTATCGTTATCATGGTTACTGTTTCTATTTCTATTCCGACGCCGACGCCGACAACGATGACACTGGTACCGTCCTATGTCACATCACTTTTTGTGATAGTTCTTGGGCCTGGAAGACTATACTACCGTAGTACTGTACTACTTTACTATCATATTGTTGTATCATTATATCATTATGTTACTATGATCATTACTGTTGCTATCCAGCCCGTGATGTTAAGACCTTTTGTTATGCCGTGAAACGGAGATCTTGTACATCATGTGGTTTCCTTCCTATGGCAACGTGATTTCCAGTTCTCTACCAGCATCCCAGGAAGTTGGACTTCAACAGCATCTTGGTGCTGGAATCATCAACTGCACAGAAGTTCTCCAAACATGTGGTGGTACATGGTTTACTCCAGGAAGATGGCAGCAAGGTGCCCTTGGCCTTTGCTAATAATGCGCAGGCTGGCTTACTCGTCAGCGAGCTGATGAATTATGCTAGGGCGCATCGTGAAGGCAGCTCGTCAAAGCACTTGTTTGTTGAGTCCCCGAAAGCAGAGACGACTGACCGCCGAGAGACAGCCGTGATTGACGAGTCGGTTTACAGCCGAAATCGATCCTTTCGCCTGCTTTTCCAATCCAAGTTCGGAAAATCCCGGCGCTTGGACTTGGACAAAGTCTCAGCGGCCCGATTCTTCGACCGACTGCCGCATCCAAGCCGCGCACTTCTTGAGACCATGGTGACATTCGTGCCACCAAAGACTGAGATTTTCCGCCATGCGCTTATTCCCGAAGGCTTTGGCCATATGGACACACAAGCCAAGCGAGTCCATCGTGGTGGATCCGTAGTTGTGCGCGGCTCGGATGGCAAAGTGTCACTAGCCCTACAAGACCCGCTGCTGAACCATCTGGTACGAGAATGGGATAGAGTTCGGGCAACCCAAGAGAAAGCATCCTTCCCTCCAACCGGAGTCCAATCTTGCGTGGAGATGGATGCTCGCTTCATGACGGTGACTTTGGTGAACAATCGCTTTTGCTACTGCAAGGGCTCTTCTCACGTCTCCAATCATGTCTACATGGTGGTCGACACAGAACGACGTTTGTTCTACCAGACCCTGGACTCATGATCAGTTGGTTTCTGATTGCATTTCGCGTGATGTCATTATGAGGTCTGCCTCATCCCTATGCCCAAACATGCTGTACAAGCATGTCTTAGCAGACAGTTGAAATGAGACTTTAGCAAAGTGTTTGAACTGATTCTTGCAGAATCCTTACCAGGGGCCCCCAGATTTTTTGCCTGAGGGTCCTGAGGACTTCCTGTCTGGTTTCCTCACGCACCCAAGTAGGAGGGGGCCAAAACAGCAAGGCGTTTGAGCAGCGGCACATGTTTTCTCAACCGGATACTTGAAGAGCATCCTTTTGCAAGTTGGGTACGAAAAAATAAAAAATTGCAATCGTAGCCCATGGGCATTCTAGGTGCACACGTCATGCTTGAGCTTGCATTGTGCCCATCTATTAGGCCTTCTCACAGACAAGAAAAGATTGAAAAATCTTCCTGACCAAGTCCACTCCAGTCGTGCGGCAGGTTATTTCCTAAAAGAAGGGGTCTTCTTTTCACCCCAAAAAGTTTGATCGCCTGGATAAAGGACCCCGGGCAGGCACTCAAGAAATTTCCCCATAATCGCTAGAAAGTTCTTATGTAGATACCCTAGGAACAAGTATGTAAATCCCCGTATGTCGTCATGTTCCACTACATGCAGGATATACTTGCCACTGAGGGGTTGATTTTCGAGAAGTTCCCAACTGCCCTGGCAAGGAAGTGCTTCGATCCTGACTGTCGTGGCTTCCAATCGCCTGAGCTCCCAATCCCTGCCTGGATACTTGACAACGCCCAGGAGGACCCGTACGAATGACAAGTTACCCAAGGTATTCCGCTTGTACTCCCTAGCAAGGATCTCCATAATCGCATATATGAATAATATATCCCTAGGTAGTTACTCAAAAGCCTCCTAGATTGAGAAACCCGCATGCATGATAATCCGCTGCCATATAAGTTGGTAGTTTGGATTCCCCTCTCCATGATGGAAGTGCAGAAGCTAGCAGATCCTTAGTGTGATCACGTTGTTGTGCATGTCTAGTGTAGTTGATGTTTCGCCAAGTATATGCTACCCTTGTCCTTGTTGGCACTAGCCCTTCAGTTCTCCAACCTCTAAGCCTGACCCGTTGGCAAGGAGGAGGACCTTGCCAATCTGCTGAACAGTGCTGAGTGGGAAAGATTCGAGAAACAAGCAGAAGTCGGAGCCCAAGATCATTCAGAGATGGGATTTGTCCTCTGATAGCTTCTGCAGAATTAGGTGTTAGAACTGTTAGGGTACTGGTTCAGACTTTGTTGTTTCTGCTGCCTTGCTGAACAACCCTCATCACTACCACAATGAGGAGCGGCCATGCGAGAGACTTGGAGAAGGTCCTGACTGTCGTGGCTTCCAATCGCCTGAGCTCCCAATCCCTGCCTGGATACTTGACAACGCCCAGGAGGACCCGTACGAATGACATGTTACCCAAGGTATTCCGTGTGTACTCCCTAGCAAGGATCTCCATCATCGCCTGTAATAATGTATCCCTAGGGTAGTTACTTAAGGGCCTCCTAGATTGAGAAACCCGCATGCATCATAATACGTTGCCATATAAGTTGGTAGTTTGGATTCCCCTCTTCATGATGGAAGTGCAGAAGCTAGTAGATCCTTAGTGTAATCACGTTGGTGTGCATGTCTAGTGTAGTTGTTTTTCCATTCAACGTATGCTACCAAACCCCCACAGGCCCCTTGTTCTTGTTGGCACGAGTCCTTCAATTGCCCAAGCTCTAATCCTAAGCCTTGGCGAGGAGGAGGACCTTGCCAATCTGCTGAACAGTGCTGAGTGGGAAAGATTCGAGAAACAAGCAGAAGTCGGAGCCCAAGATCATTCAAAGATCTGGGATTTGTCTTCTGATAGCTTCTGCAGGATTAGGTGGCAGGTCACTGCTTCAGACTTTGTTGTTCCCGCTGCCTTGCTGAACAACGGTCGTCACTACCACAATGAGGAGCGGCCATGGGAGGGACTTGGAGGAGGTGGCGCCGCCGCGGGCGGTGGCGATGGTTGTGGCGGAGGCGGCGGCGGTGGCGTCGTAGCAGTAGTCTGTCATGGTCGTCGCAGTATGTCGTTTTGGTCGTCGTGGTGGTGGTGGTCGTCGTGGT